AACAGGATACCCACTGAAGGTGGACGGTGTCTGGGTACTGGTAGATACCGATGGCAGCTAATAATAGGGAATGCACGGCATTCACAGTCCCAGAAGAGGTCTTTTCCAATGCCATTTGGTTTGCATTCAGTGTGTGCGCCTTTTCAGCAAGCCTTGCACATGGTAATAGGGCCGGAGATGGAGCCTCATGCGTTCGCTTACCTAGACGATATCGTGGTAATAGGGGCAACGAAAGAACACGTAGAGAATTTGAGGCAGGTGTTGCGCCGGCTGAGGGTGGCCAATCTCAGGCTGAATAGGAAGAAATGTAGCTTCTTTAGGGAGAGGTTGGTCTATCTGGGACATGTTATTTGCGGGGAAGGGATACGTGCCGATCCTGAGAAGGTGGAGACGATAGGCAGTCTTAGGGCCCCGACTAATTGTAAGGAGTTACGGCAGTGTCTCGGGATGGCTTCATGGAATAGGCGGAAATGGGCATGGGATGAAGAACAGGAGGAAGCATTGCGTCAATTGAAGGATAGCTTGACGACTGTCCCTGTTTTGGCTTGTCTGGACCTTTCCGCCAAATACGTATTGCGGACTGACGCGAGTGAGTATGGCATCACCGTAATACTGACGCAGACGATAGAGGGACAGGAGCGGGACACCGGACAGATGATGAGGATTACAATCCCTGAAATCTATGTGTGGCTAGTGGTCAGCGACAAGGGGTATTGCAAAAGGTTGGCCCAAGGATACTACTGGTCGGGTATGTTCCGCGATGCCGCCAAGTACGTGAAATGCTGCGAAATCTGCTAGAAGTTCAAGAGCGAGCAACTCAAACCGGCAATACTCTGCACAGATTTTTTAGGGCCCCTTCCAAGGTCGAGACATGGCAACACGATATTTGTGGTGTTCCATGATGCCTTTTTGAAGTGGGTGGAATTGGTCCCACTTAGAAGGGCTACGGCGGCGCACTTGAAGACGGCATTTCGAGAGAGGATTTTGAGTAGGTTCGGGGTGCCTAAGAAGTTTGTGTGCGACAACGGGCAACAGTTTACGAGCCGTAGCTTCAAGTCTTTTCTGGAGACACTGGGTATAGAGGTGCAATATACCGCTCCGTACAGTCCGCAAGTGAATCCCAAAAAAAGCAAGACGACCAACAGAACCGAGAAGACCACGAAAGCGCAATTTCGTGGGACGAGCTCTTGCCCGAGATATCGCTAGCGATCAACACAAGTGTGGCGAACTTAACGGGTTTCATAACCGCCTTCCTGATGCAGGGCTGGGAGCGGCGGTTGGCCGCCGCTCTGTACGATGAGTCGCGGCCTTCGTTGGACTCGATGGTCTTGTTACGGCAGCACCAACTGTCCAACGCCGCTGAGAGCTTCGCTGCAAAATTGGCGGCCTCTATCGAGTCATCGAGCCCCCAACATCGTACGCCCAGGGAAGCCAGGTGAACGCAAGAAAAGGGTGGCCAATATCTTGCATCTTACGCCATTCCACCAAGAGATAACTGATGATAAAGGAGAGAAACTAGGAGCCCTAGACGCCCACGAACAGGCAAAGAGTAAGAGTGACGCCCGTCGCCTAAAGCAACGCCAATACTAAATGTAGATAAGACTAACACGCTCGCGGAAAAGTTTAGCGATCGAGGCTAGCGAACGAGCCGGCACTTTGTGATCGAGTATTAGGGTGACTACACATGTGGCAAGGAAGAGAAACCAAAGGAGAATTAGAGTGAGCAACGGAGCGCTAGGGCTGCGAACAGTGCGACAGGGCCTTAGCTTAGGGAAACCGCGGAGGGTAGCGCCTAATAAGTGAGAAACAAGGAATGTGAATAAAATTAAGTCAGTAAAAAAAGTCGATTAGTTCTTTTTTAATCCTGACCTCAAACACCGGAGCTAGTCGGTATTCAACATAACCTCTTTCCATGACCTAGCATGGCAGCATATGCTGTGAGGCTACGGGCCGGTAGTGTAGGTTGTGCCAGGCTACGGCCCGGTAGTTTAGGTGATGTAGAAGTAATACGAGGTATGATTTGGTTGAAGCACTTCCTCCCCCTCTTAACCCACAATCGCAGCACACTAACAAATATCTGGTAACTTGCTGGTCCTGGTGACTGCGAGTTGTACCCCGGGCAGTAGCTTCCTTACAAGATAAATTCCGACACCAGCATGCTCCTAGTTCCGCTATTAAATATCAGTCCACATCTCCAAATATGTACCACTACCGTCTTCTTCTCATGGGTAGAGGTGCAAATGAGACAATCTTGGCATCCGGTGCCTCTGAACTAGTGAGAAGTACCATCTGTCCAGCTCACCGGATTCGTTTGGCCCCTCTGACCGCATTTCAAGAATCGATGATCGATCGCTCCAGCCGGACGTACAGACGATCGACTCGTTGTTGCTTGTGTCCTTGCTTCAAGGAATGCCTCATTCGTTGAGCTGGCCTTATCTCAGGCTGTCGTGTTCTGTTTTTTTTTTCATCTTTTTTATACATATCTAATCGTAACAACTGCTTTGAATATCTTCATATTTAAAGAGTAGAAACCAAAGAGTCATGCTGAGGCTGACTACTTCGAAACAGCTTCACGTTACTTCTGGTGTACCCAAAGATCTTGGACCATTACTCTTTACTCTTTACATTTAAGATCTCCCTCTGTTATATAACATGCCCATGTTTCTATGTATGCGAACGAAGTGAAACTTATTTTTTCATATACTGATCGCCGACATCACTCACATCAACAGGATGATTTGAACGCTATGCAACTTTGGTGTTCGGCCAATCAATTCCATCTAAATTGCTCAAGGTGTATTTTTATGACCTTTAATCATACTACACTTTATCTTGTTAGTTATACAATCGACAATACTCCATTGCAACGTTTACTAACGGGATCTGCCCTTTTTTTTATTCCAAGCTCTGCTCCATGTCGATCTAGCCATGTCTGTCTGTCAGTCTGTCCATCCGTTCGTCCGTCCGAACCTATAAGAGCTAGATGTAGGTCCTCCTAGTGCCTGCGCAGATCGAGTTTGTTTCCGATAATCGATAACTTTCTCCGTTTCCAAGTAATCGATAAAATTTGATTTTTTCAATTTATGCCATCTACCATAAGAACACTATTTTCACTTATAATACCTTCCTTTTTAGCTGTAGCCTCTATAATGTCACTGAAAAAATTAAAAAGTAAAATTTATTGCATAATTACGATGACACTTGTTTTGTCGACCATTAATAAATAAATAAATAATAAAAAAAAAATGTTGTTTGGGCTACAGATAAGAGTTGAGTGAGTTGAATTTAAAGGCTCTCTCAAGCGCTCTAGCTGTAAGTCCTGTTACCTTGAGTTATATTACTTTCCTTTTATTGTAATTTTATTTAGCTTTCGAACTTGCTAGCCTAGTAACATGTCGAAGTCAGTACGCGTCAGCCCAAGTTACCTGACGTATGGTCTGTATAGTTCAGATTAATAATAATTATATTTAGGTTAGGTTCAATAAAAGTTTATCATTTTTAAAATGAACAACCTCGCTCGTGAACTCATGTGAGCAGCCTTCTTGGCCCATTTTTATCTCAAAATTCCCAACAATCGTGCAACTCCCCCAAAGTCGACTCGGTTGGTAACCACGCCGTAGGCCGCATCATATCTACGGATAGTCAGGCAGTTTGGGGCTAGCACATGGCGCCGCTGATATCGCACAATATTGTCAATCGGCAACTGGATTACTACGCTCACAACAACTTTCTGTAGAAGATTACCGTTTACGACATGCGTTACAACTACAATTTTGTTGCACAGCTCCTTGTGCTACTCGACCCAGCAATCTCGAGCCATTCACTGTCATTGAGCAAAATGTTGCAATCTTTCTAAATTCATAAACTTCCCTTAGCTTGACAGACACACTCATGTACATTTGCACCAAAACATGTGTGTTGAGACATACATAGCAACAACTATTTGGCGGGTCGATGCAATGATGTATTATTTTTTTTAAGGAAAACAATTATTAATAATTGTCCCAATCACAGTTGCGCAGTCAATACGAAGTATAATTTTTCTCTGACATTAAATAAAAATTGTTGTATAAGAAGATAAGTGTTCTTTGCTAAAAAGTACTGATCAATAGCTAAAATACTGCCGGTCCAAAGATTAAAAATTATAAAAATATGCCGGGCTGCTTGTAAGTTGAAAGCGAGTAGAGAAGAAGAAGTAATGCTTATAAGTTAGAAGAGTGGATAATAAAATTGTTTTGTAGTTGTCTTTTTTTTTATTCTGAGTCGCTTGTTTTGATAATTGGTGGATGTTGATAGAAAATATTCTGATATTATCTTTGAATTTTGTGCAACGGCAGAAGTATCTGTAGACAGCCGGGTGTTGTGTTTGCAGCCTCGGTTTCTCGCATCAAGTACAGCGAAAAAGAGCTTTGATCCAGAAGCCCTTTCTATTAATTATTAATGGGAGTTAATGGGAGCTCCCAAATAATGAGAATGTGGCAGCGCCGATCTCATGATCCACTGCGATGAGCGGGGAAATGTGGGAGAGCGGGTGGACAATCCCAATGCTCTGTCACTATCACCCTACTCCAGCTATTTAGGCACTCCTGTTTATTTGCTAATCTACCGATACCGAAAAAATATCGAGGCTGCCGATAATATCAAATTTTACAGCAGTCCGTTCCTGGGCTCGTAGAACATTCTATTCTGGCAGTTTCGACTATCGACTGATAGTATTATAATTTTTATTGTTGACTCCATAAACTGTATTATTCAAGACATAAGAAATTGGATTTTCGCTATCAAAAAAAATGCAACTGTGTATACCATTTTCATAAACATACCAAAAATATATATGTATAATAATTCAGGCAACATTTCGAAACGTGGCTAGTGTCATCTTAAAAAATGTATATATGGGAATATACCGCCCTGTCAATAAAGCCAAAAAGAACTAGTAGTTCGCGAATTAAACATGAGATAAGAACTGAAGAAATGAATTGTTTTAGGTGAACTGAATGTGGATTGTAAAACAATGAAAAAGTGATAAATAGTGTTTACATTTGTTTTCTAATTTGTTTTAAAGTTATAATTTAAAATATAACAAACGAGTAAAAGGTGTTCTTATTCCATCAAAAGTGTAAACAAACAAAATTACTTATAATTATGTATAATGTACCACATAAGTATCGCCAAGTTTGTCGATTGTGCCTCACTTTGGTTAATGAGCAAGATATTGCAGATCTACAAATATATAACAGTGAAAAAAGTCCCAATGAAAAACTTAACCAACATATTCATAACTTTAAAAAGTGCAATATAAATGATAATTTATCAAAATGTGTATCCAATGCCTTCGACTCAAAATCATGTTGCTGTCAATGTGATAACTCGTTATCAGCAGTGGAAAGCAATAATGAAATGGGCTCATTGAATCATCTTCACAAAAGCAATTACACACCAAGTGTGCCTTCTGCCTCTGTCAACCCGCCATGCATTATAGAATCCAAAAAGTTTGATCCAATATTTTCAAATAAAAATAGTCTGCAAACTAATTTATCAACATTACACTTTCAATCACCATCAACGACACAAGATGTTGAACTACAAAAAAGAGTAACATCTAAACCAATTGGTCAGGGCGAGCATCAAATTATACATAGCCTACCCAGCATAGGATATGACACTGCTGCTGAATCTATTCCCACAAAAAATCTATTTTATGAAGTTGACGAAAATTCTTCAACACACGAGGATTACAGCCAAGAGCATAAAGATGATTCATCACCGCATATTTCAATTCAGATATTCAACTGTCTCTCTATTAAGGTAAGGTGAAGTAGTTTTTAATTCAACATACGTATGCGCATACAAATGCTTGGATATATATATATATATATATATATATATATATATGTGTGTGTGTTTGTGTGTGCATGTGTGTGTTCATGTTTTTTTTCCGTCATCCGTACTTGTATATACTGTGCATTATGTGTAATAACAAACTCGCTCTATTACATTTAAAAATAAGGGAAATGTCTCAAATTGTCTTTCGTTTTTGCAAAGTATTAACTCAGATGAGCACATACTATTATATACATATATGTGTATGAATACATAATTACGTACCTATTCATGTATGAATAATACGTATACGAACATGTTAATAAGTAGAAAGGTACAAACAAATATAATACGATATATTATTCTTTGAATTGTTGGAATAAAAGCATTTTAAATACGTTTATGTAATCATAATAAATAAATTTGTAAATATCACCTCTTTATTTAAAAACTATTGTTTATAAATGCAAATTATGCATTGAAATCGCAAAATAATTAAGAATTTCTATCAAATTCATACCCAATTCGAATTCTTAGGTGACACAAATATCTAGTGTACGCTAAATTTTTGTTTGTAATTTATTATTTTAAGAGCATAATTTTACAGATAGTCGATAGATAGCTTGGTATAGATAAACAGAAAAAGGTGAAGGAAAATTGTAAGCCGGTGCTGCATTCAACTATAAAATGTAAATATGTCTTTAAATATAAACCATTGGATTTATCTCCGATCTGTGATGAAGGGATGAGTTTAAATTTAAATAAAAGAAAATATCTTACCAGACCTAACTTTTTTGATTGGATTTGGATGATACTGCTTTATTAAAAGGATTCCTGCTTTCGAAATCGACATTCGTCATTTACTAAATTGAGTCGAGCACAAATGTGCCTGCTCCCCGAAAGGCTCTGAAAGGTGCTAGAGTCGTTTCTGGATGGCAGGAAGTTCGCTGTGCAGAAAGCTTGCTCCTGAATACGCCCAATTCGTGATGGGTCTCTACTGACAAAATACGCAGACTTTTCTGCGTTTCTAGCGCCTAGAAGCAGACCACTGACCGTCACCAGGTGTTAATGAACCAGTTCGAGTGCTAGGCCTCACGATGGAGTATCCTTAATGTCGAGTAGAGCCAGCACGACACTGTTGCGCTGACCACGTTAACAGAGTCTGTGATTCAGCTAGGACAAGGCCAGGTTTCAACTATTTTTACCACCTCCGATCGGTTTGTTCTTACTGAGCTGTGTGTCGCTTGTCGGGGTGCAGCAGAGTTGGTGACGTCAGGCATCCTCTTTACTTTTAGTTGCGGATGGTGCGATTGGCCGGCGTGGGCCTACCATGTTGGGCTTTTCGACGTTGAGGCAATATTCCGTCGCCGTTGACCAACAGCCTTTTTGAGTCTTAAGATAAAAATGGTCGATGGATTCATTTAATTATAAGTACCACATTGACACTCCTCTAAGGATGTGATATGTATCTCTAAGTAAAGCTCTCTTTGAGTAGGCAAGGAGATGTAGGATGCTCTGTCTGAAAGATTGTCGGGATCAACAAAATATCCAGGAATTGACAATCCCGGAAGAGTGTGGGTATAAAAACATAAAGAAAATGTCGCTCCGTGTTGGTTATATGTTGCTGATGATCTCTAATCCACAGCAGGATCTTATATATATCAGCATTTTTCCTACGAAAGTCTTCGAAAAAATCTTGTCTGACGCCTGTTACAGGATAATTTGGAGAATTTCAAAGGTAGGGATTGTTCAGATTAGCTCCTGACCTGTGCAACGTCGAGATCTTTTGCCAAACATTCGCCAGCCAGGGAGTTCCTAACGTCTCTCCCAAAGCTTCCACAAGCGTTCGTGGGAGGTAAATTCATAGTTTGTTTGTTTATTTTAATTCTATTTATTTGTTGTCTGCAAAAAGAGTGCCAATCTAAGTATTAAATGCATAAAAATGACAAAATTAAAGGCTTGAAGTTTAATATAAATATTAGGGGTGAAACAAATTTTTAACATAAAATATATTAAAAAAAGTGAAAAAGGTATGAAAAAAGTATTCAAATTTGAAATACTAAGCGTATTTGATTTGATAGGGTATAAAGATAGTGTTAGGAAATCACCCACCCCATGGGGTCACATCTGAAAATGATCAGTGAATTCTCGAAGATATCCTAAAAGCAACGATTTTATTAGGGGTAGAAAGAGTTTTATCGAGAATACGAATGGGGTCGCAACTTAAACCTCATTAGGCGAAAATAAGATCCACACAAGTTCTCAGTTAAGAGAATTTGATATATTTTTGCGCTTCCTATCTTATCTTGTTTCTAAATTTTACATATTTTGTGCTTTATTTAAAAATAGCTTGTGCAAAATGCAAATTGTTGTGCAGCGTAGGTCTATTAATTACCGCATTTTATTGAAACCGAGTTCAGTTCCGTGCAGTTTTCACTGTTGCCATTCGCTTCAAACAATAATTAGTGTGTGTTCAAATATTTTTTGAGCGTTTCTTTGCTCTAATTTTGTCCGCGGTTTTTTTGCGACTTCGCAACTTCTGCTTAACTTTTAACGCCGGTAGAGAATTTGTCTTGCTGTAAATAACCTTGCTTTTTCAAATGGCTGAAGATTCTGCACAGCCGCAATTTGTTTATTGTTGGCTGTTTGAAATATAATGCATGCTTAATGTGCTGGTCTCACTGGGCGTGATTGCGACAAGATCGCTGCCATTGCCAAGAAGGGCTGCGGAGGTTTGCGTTGGTCGTACCCTGTAAGCATCGATAAGCAAATTAATTTCTTCAGAATGTATAATTCTGTGAGAAATAAATTCTTAAAACTTCAAAATGTGGCTAAGCAGCTGTCGAGTAACTTTGACCTGAGTTTCGAGTTGCTTAGCAAATACAAATTCGAGTCTACACCCAATCGCGAGTCAAATGCAAAAGCATTTATCCTCTCCGTCTAACCAAACACCTACGACTCTTTTGTCCGTGCCAGACATCTTGGATTTATACCCAATGCTGTCATTATCACCTTCTTCAAGCGATTGTCTAAATATTACCCCTGTGATATCTAGCGTAGTCCGGTAGGCCCTTTAGTGGAACCTGCCCAAGTCAATGAAACTGCTTCAGCACCGTCAGCTTCTGGCCGCAACAGTAGACCTGCGCGCAATCTATCCCAGATTGTTAAAAGTGAAGCTTCTCTTTTATCTTCAGCCCTATCAGTTCCCATTTTGACTGTTGTTGCCCCTCGTAGGTATGTTTTTGTGTGTCGACTTTCGTCTGACACCACTTGTGAGTCATTGCCTGCCTATTTTGTTAGCAAATCTTCTGCTAGCCTGTCACTCCTTGCTAAATAGCATCTACAAAATTAATGTTTCATATGACTCGTTCCCAATCATTTGTGATTCCTAATTTTGGCCTCCTTATATTATTTACGAACTTAAGAAAACAAGAGAAACCAGCTTATCATCCTTTTGGTCCCTTCGATACAAGATACCGTTACTGCCGTAAAAAATTAACTTTGTCTTCCGACCTAGTTTCTATTAATTCTAAGAGTGTCAGAGGTCTGATTTATGGGTAGCACTTCCTTCGATTCGGATATAATCACATTTTCAGAAACATGGTTAAATTCAACCATATCTGATTTTGAAGTTTTTCGAACAATTTCATTTTACATAAAAATGATCGGCCGACTCGAGGTGGTGAGGTATAAATTGCCGTTAAAGCCACTATCCAGTCAGAACCATTCGTTTAATACCCCTACTGACGCTGTGATTGTCTCAGTAAAGGTGACTTTTCCATCATGCGATCTTTATATTACATGCACCAATAACCCTCGTTTTTCTGATATTCAAATTTTTATGAATCATATTATTTTTTACAACACCCTGAACTCCATCTTAGATTTTTTGCGTTCCAAATTGGTTCATTCCCAGACTAGTCTGGTTCGAGTATTGACTTGGCTAAATATTTCATAGTCAAGTCGAACTTCCTTTTTCTAAATACTCAGTGCTATGAGAATTATCTTACTCATTTTATTTGGAAATTTCCCCAATTGATGCTAAAATCTTGAAGTTTGCCATCTTCTTTTTCTCTTGGAATGGATAAATCTAACAATGAATCTGATTCTGCTAACCTCTTTGCTAACTTTTTCCAATCTGTCCTAATAAAAATTCTTATCCTTATAATATTACTTCCTCTAGTTCTATACTTGCTCCAATAATTTCCCATCCCTCTTTACTTTCAGCTATAAATTCTTTAAAATGATTTTACTCTCTTTGCCCCTTCTCCCACCATTGCCAAAGCCCTTTAATCCATCCTTTGAATCTTCGATTTTTCCATCTCTTTGGAAAGAATCTTATTTCATTCCTCTCCACAAGAAAGCTGGAGAGTCTGATATAACAAATTACAGGGGCATTGCAAAATATTTGAAAAAATAATCACTTCGAATTTGCAATATTTCTGCAAATCAGTTGTCTCCCCTGTTCAACATGGATTCGTAAAGAATCGTTCAACTACGACCAATCTGCTAGAGTTTACTTCCTTGGTAAATGATGATTTCATTTCTAAAATGCAAACTGATGGTATTTACATTGTCTTTAGGAAGGCGTTTAGCCTTGTGCACCATGATATTTTACTTCTTAAACCTAATTGTCCTAACATACATTTTAATCAATTTTGATACAATTGGTTGGCCGAACACCATGGTTGGAAAAAGATCAGGTTGTAAGTCGATTAAAAAATACTTCAAAGATGTTGGCAGAGTTGAAAATTACGCTTCAAGTTTAAAGTCTCGACCTTAAGCAACTTGCCTTTTAAACGAATTACATAATTTTAAAGGATTGAGAATTCTTAAAATAGTAGTTTGACTTGGATATGGAGTTTTAAGCCAAGTTAATAGTCAGAATTACTAAACTTTTTAAAATATTTAGACTTAATATTTCTTAGGTTTGATGGTATAGAAGTAAACCATGGTTGCTTGGAAGAAGCAAGCGATGGTATTGAACTGGTAGTACATCCATCTAAGGATAATTCAGGGTGTTATAAAAACAATTTAGAGTATTCATATCAACTACGTCAAGGTTTGCTTTGCGATTTAATAAGGATTACAGTTGCGCATTGCTACCTCCAAAGCAGGATGCTATACATCCTCAGGAATAAATAAGGTAATCATTGATAAATACAAGATAAATTATTCTATTCAAATGATTAGAAATTGAATTGATTTGAAATAATGAAGTAGTCATGCTGTGCTAAATTTACAAAGTAGTTGCTGGCGGTGAATAATAACAATGAGATGTTCGGTAAATTAAAATCACTCCACACGATAACTAGGTCATTATCACGTACATTAGTAGAAACTTCTTAAATACAAGTTATATGCTTTATGTAAACTGGAATGATTATATAAAAATAGCGCGTGAAGAGAGTAAATTTAACTGAGACAATCTCAGCATCAGTACTGGAACAAAAAGTTTCAGAATGGCCTAACGGCTGTTAATATACCACCATCTCGAAACGATCAATCATTTCTTTGCACAGTAACGTTTTTCGAAAAAACGTCATCTTCAGATATTCTTATATTGAGATATGTGTATTGGAGTGCGATTATATACTAATCAAAGGAAATACTAGCTATAAAAAGATTTTTAAGTTTAGAAATAAGAAGTCTAGAGAAATTCAGTTGTTTGTGGAAGGACGTTGCATCGAAGGGACCTGAAGGTTAATGCTGATTTCGCTTTTTGTACTTCGTGATGGCAAATAAGCCGTCAAGGAATAAATTCAAAGTCGCTTCATATTGTTTAAAACCCAACGCATATAAATTTGTTGTCTTATAGGTTTTTAAATGAATTCTCTTAACTTAGTATAAATTTATATTTTATTTTAATAATCTTTTTGCATTTGTATTTTTCAGCCATTACCGAATGATGGGTTCCCCTCTGTTATCTGTCATGAGTGCCGAAGTAAACTTGAATCGTTTTGGAAGTTCCGCAACATGGCACATAATTCACATTATGCGCTAAGAGATTTTTTGGCATTATCGGAATCATCCAAGCTTGTAAGTAGTTTACCTAATCTACATACATAAAGAAGTTTGCCCTGATTGACTACTAACTGGTGATTGACTAACCGACCTACAGGGCTATACCTTAACTGGGAACTGGCTGGGAACCTGAAATTTTTACAGCGGCTTTTTGATCGCAACTAATCACTAAAACGGTGTTTTGGATAATTTGAATTGCATATTAGCCAAAACAGCTGGAGCGACCTCGCAACTGATAAGAGCAGCGTCTTAATCTTATCTTAAAACACTTGCTCTGCGAAGCAATTGCCTAAATTTCGCTCTTAAGATTTCATTTATATTAAGCTGGCGCTCTTCGCTGTAATGATCGTTTTATTGTCCAAGCATTACTTATGCGAACGCTTCATGCATTTGGTACACATCGGCCACTTTCATTACTCAAAATTATAACTAATCAATTGTCGCTTCGCTTAAATTGGCAAGAAATAAAATAATGTTAATTATTTCTATTTGTAAAAGCTATTGAAAAAGCTCAATAGCGCAAGAACGGTATTACAAGTTTTCAAACCGACGGAAGGTAGCCTGTTCAAATCTAGTAGTAATTTTTAATTTATATATATGTTTCTTGTCTTATTAACACCGAAAAAATCAATAATATTGCATTGAGAAATATCATCGCTTCTTTTACACACTTATGCTGCAGCTATGAGTGAGTGAGTCACAGACGCGAGCCAAAACAGACTCCAGAAAACTTTTTTTTCACTCTAGTCAAGACATTGAGAAAAACTCTGCATTTTTTCTACGCTTGTGATAAACCGTCGGGCTTTGACTTTAAAACCATAAACTGATTGTATCGCATATTATTAGGCCTATTCTTTCTTAGACTGCTTTATTCTATTGAAAAAATGTTCAACAAGCTATTGCCATCGAAAGATGCAGTCAACTATAGCGACTCAATAAAGGGAGACATGCACACGTATTGAACTTTGGTTATTGAAACAATTATTGGACTGAATCCCCAAATTTATCGTTGTCAACATCTTCAATGGACAATATGTACAGCAACTTTTAAACTTATATTTCATGCCAGGTTTTTTTTCCCAAGCAACCTTCTGGAAACATATGCTTCTACGGGGTTGTAGGAGCGCAAGGGTACAAATTTTGTACATCCTGAAACCATTGAATATTGATAAAATGGGTATAATGACTTTGTGCAATAATAATAAGTACAAAAAAAAAGCAATGACTTTTGCGAATTGCCAACATAAACGGTGACTTCTGTATCATACGGCTTTTTGACAACTACCAAGCCACTGACACTGCAACTAGCAATGGAACCTCGATAACCAAACCAATGACTCTCAAACCCCTGCTGATGTTGTCACCTTTTATTTTCATCCTTCCCGGATGACAAAAGTTCCTCACTTTCGGCGAAAAACCTCCGAAATGTGATGATTTGGTAGAAGTGTTTATGCGTGCATATATCGCGCATTGTACCTGCGGCACAAACCTAAACTATTTCGACTGCTCTTCTGCAGATATGGATAGGATTGAGTATTCCACCTATTCAACCGCAGCATTCCCTCTGGCTACCCCTGTGGTATTCCACATACATTCAACCATATTTGCGGCCAGAATTTCTACAAACGTTGTCTACAAAAGCAACACCTGTGATACGTTTTGGAAATTAAAAGATGACTGCTACTCAGCTTAAAAATAACTTCTTCCGCACCGGTCGACTTGGTTGAAAAGAGCCACACAAATTTGGAGAAGGCATCCACAACGACAAGTATGTACTTATACTAATTTAATGTTGTATCCATCGGCCTCAAATGATTGATATGCAGTGTAATAAATCTTCCGACTTGCCAAGCTTCTAACTGTGGACCGGAACGACAATTAGTAAAGACCCTTGTTATCTTTACTTCAACACCGGGACCACAAAATTTCTGATAAATGTGGTGCATCATGTTTTTTAATAACGAAATGCCCGGTTTCATATTCATATTCACATTCGCGATTTTCTAAATTGTACGGACAATTACTACAGGGCCTTGAAAAACCTCATTTTATAAATACAAATTTTGTCATATTGTATTTTTTAGGGATATCTTCAATCTGATATACAGGCAAACAATTGTGAGGGGCCATGCTGTTAAGCTTTCGATAGTCAACACACTCAAAGATTCTTATATAACTTCTTTCTCCAGCCATTGTTTAACCTGCTTCCTTACAGTTTCAGCCTTTTCAACAGGGAGTCTATAGAATATGTGGTTTCACGGGAATGATCTTTAGGTCGATTAGACTCTCTTTTCTACTGAAGGCTACTTATAGCTGTTTTCAATCGATTTATAATTGGTTTTGTGCTTGCAAAATATACATTGCTCAGAGTTTTTAGCACACTGGTCCACACCGCTCTAGAATTTTTCTCATTCATCTGTCAGTTTCTGCTCTAGCTTAAAACACCTCACACACTCTGATTCTTAAAATAGCCTGGTGTGCTGCCCTTTTTACTCTAGCTTCAACATCAGATAATTTATACCTATCTGCATTCCGCTAAAAAATTTGGAGCCGCGTGTTCAAGTAACGAATTTCTAAGATCGACGCGTACACATAGTAAGACAAAAAAGTGACATATAACTCAATTAAAACAAGCATCTAATTTTTTATATAACAAACCAAATCGTCTGTTTCGTCATCTGTAATGTTGAAACTCTTCAGCGGACGCAGTGTGTTCCCATTAGATGACAATTTTCGTAAAGAGTCGAAATAGATTGGAGTAAACAGTGATTGTATTTTAGTAGTAATTGTATTTTAGTAAAATTACATAAAATTCAAAACCTGGTGGCAGCCAAAACAGAAATCTTAATTATCTCTATATATAAAACTGTTTGTCCTGACTGACTGACCGACTGATGACTGACTGATTGGTGATCAACGCACAGCCCAAACCGTAAGAGCTAGGAAGCTGAAGTTTGCACTGTAGTTTCCTTATGTGATTAATGTGCACGTTTAATCGGGGTTTCGGAAAATATGGAAAAATCGCGTAAAACGTTTGTATAAAACTTTTTTGTTTAACATCCGATCGGCCTCAAACTCAATTTTAAAGTTCTTTATTCAAATTCATTTGAGGGGTGATGCACACTTTTCCAAAAATGTATTTCTCCTTGGTGGAAATGGGGGTCAAAGATTTGGTGGATGACATTTCGCGCACAAATTCATTTTCAAGGATCTATATAAAACATCATTTGAGAAATGTTTTATATTTTTCGCAGAATCAAAGCATCCTCGGTAGAAATGCGGTTCTAAGATTTTTTTGATGCATTTTTAAGTTTTGTCCGATTTACCTCAATCTAATTTTCAGAGCTCTACATAAGAACTTAATGAATACTTCTTTTAGTGATTTGGGAAATGCCCCCCGCAAGTATGGAAAAATCACAAAAACGTTTGTATGAAACTTTTAAGCGTACCATCCGATGGGCCTTAAACTCAATTTTAAAAATCTTTGTTCAAATTCGTTTGAGGGGTGTTTCACACATTTCCCAAAATGTTTTCCTCCTTGGTGGAAATGAGGGTCAAAGATTTGGTGGATGACGTTTGGCGCATTATATATTTATTTTCAAGGATCTATATGAAAAATCTTTTGAGACGTGTCTCACATTTTTCGTAAAATCTAAACTCCTTCGGTAGAAATGCGAGTTAAAGATTTTTTGGTCGAAGTTTTAAAGGGTGTCCGATTTGCTTCAAACTTATTTTCATAGCTCTACATAAGAATTTAATGAATTTGGGAAATTCCACCCACAACAATGGTTAAGTTGCGAAAAACTCATTTTCAAAGATCTTTGCTTAAATTCATTTGAGGAGTGTCTCGTACTTTTTGGAAAATCCATCCCTTCTTGGTGGAAATGGGTTTCAAAGATTTGGTGGTTTCGCGCTTAAATTCATTTCCAATGATCCATAAGAAAAATCATTTGAGACCTGTTTTACATTTTTCGCAGAATCAAAGCATCCTCGGTAAAAAGTGCAATTCAAAGATTTTTTTGGTGATGTTTTAATTTTTTCCTATTTACTTCAAAATTATTTTCAGAGCTATACAAACAAACTTTTTGAATACGTGTTTTAACGATTAGGGAAATTCTACCCGCAATATATATGATATATATATGAAATTTGTTTGTTAAGAATAGTTTGTTATTAAGAACAGATACAAAAAACCCAAAGTACTGGAATGTACCGGAGGTACCTTGACCCAGTTTGCAGTACAGAGCGAGTTGGCAAACGATAAAATTGGGTAATCACCTTGATTAAATTAACCAGTACAAGGTACAAGGTACCAGTACAAGGTAAGCAGGGAAACTCCAACGTAAGGCGTTGTCTATGCAATTCAAATGCATACGATATCTACGTGCTAGCTGCCCAATTACAATAGGTACGCAAATTCACCAAACATAATTTAACAGGTTCATCATTCTAAAATCAGCGAAACCAATAGCACCAATATTGCATTTTATACACTGAACCCATTTAAAATGGGTAAAGTGGGTATTAGGTATTTGTGCAAATGTTTGTTACAGGTAGAATTAAGCATATCAAATTCGTTTGAGGGGTGTTTCACACATTTCCCAAAATGTTTTCCTCCTTGGTGGAAATGAGGGTCAAAGATTTGGTGGATGACGTTTGGCGCATTATATATTTATTTTCAAGGATCTATATGAAAAATCTTTTGAGACGTGTCTCACATTTTTCGTAAAATCTAAACTCCTTCGGTAGAAATGCGAGTTAAAGATTTTTTGGTCGAAGTTTTAAAGGGTGTCCGATTTGCTTCAAACTTATTTTCATAGCTCTACATAAGAATTTAATGAATTTGGGAAATTCCACCCACAACAGTGGTTAAGTTGCGAAAAACTCATTTTCAAAGATCTTTGCTTAAATTCATTTGAGGAGTGTCTCGTACTTTTTGGAAAATCCATCCCTTCTTGGTGGAAATGGGTTTCAAAGATTTGGTGGTTTCGCGCTTAAATTCATTTCCAATGATC